TCCCCCTCCATTTCTGATAAACAGGCCTGGAGGGGGGCCAAGGATTTGCACTGGAAACACATAAGCATCACAGGTAATGCCTATGCTGTTGGCATGGCAACCACACTTTGAGTGCCCTGCTTGGTTGAGAGCCCTACTCCAGAGAAATTTGACCCAGAGAGGAAGGAAGACACTTAAAATCCTAAGATCATTAGCCTTTCCAGTGTTTATAAACTGCGGGGTGGTGATGGGTAGACACAAAAGCCAAGTCTGTACTTTCTGCAGTAAAATATGTATTTCTACAAATCACAAGGAGCCTCTTATCCTTCCATTTTCAAGATAATATCAAAGGAAACACAAAAGCAGAAGTTTCTAACTGGGGTGTTCACATGGCAACTCTTCATTAGAATCAAATATTTCTAAAGAATTAAGAATATAAGTGTGTTGAAAATAGTGGAATTGGGAATCTCATGTCAAAATTTTAAGAGTGCTCATGATCTTTATTCAGTAATACTAAGTAGAAAACTTGATCTCATGGAAATACTCAGAGGTGCTTACAAAGATTTACATTTAAAGACGTTCATCACAGCATTATTTTCATAGCCCCAAACTATAAAAAGCCAAATAATTAAAATATGAAATTAGTTAAACATTATGTTGCAACAATGTGAAGAAATAAGATACAGTCATTAATATTTGTTCCTCCAAGAATATTAGAAAATAGAAGAGAAAAATTCATAATATTATGAATCAAAAAAGTAGACACAAAATAGCCTGTAAAATATGAGATATACTTATAAATATTTATTTTTCTGAAGGCTACTTGTATAATGAGTCTTAAGAATCAAGTGCTTAAGAATTCTTTCCCTGATTTTTCAAGTTTTTAACTTTTAAACTATTCTCCAAAGTTCCTTCCATGAATTTACATTATATTTATAAATGGGAAAAAAATCACAATAAATGGTTTGAGTATTTTTTTAAGCAACCTATGTAGCAATGAATTTGAATTTTTCAGAGACAGAAGTGCTAAAATAAAGAGGTATGTTGAAGCAGTTCACATTTCTTAAAAGGTAACTAGAGACTAAGAATAATATGTATTATCTCATTATAATTTTCACATTATAATAATATCTACCATATGTTATAACAGTATATTGTTCTGTAATACTATAACTCTATACATGTGCATACATACAATATTCTAGTATGTGATTATGCTAGTTTTACAAAGAAGATAACATAGGTTTAAGAATTCAAAGTAACTTGGTAATAAGGGGTTGAAGTGAATTTTGAACTCGGGCATCTCTGACTTGAAAAAAAAAGTGTTCTTTCTTTTCATCTCATGGTGTAAGAGGTAAAGATATATAAAACTTTAGAGAAGATTAAATATTCAAGGGATGATCATTGATCTGGCTATACATTCAAGAGGCAGAAAACAAAATATTAATTTCTGCTAAGTATTTAGATGACTACTTTTTATACTACTTCTGCTGGATAAATACTTACTCAAAAAGTTTCGATCATACTGCTTGTCCTTCATTCCTCCTTCTGCGCCCTTCGGTGACTGACCTGTCCCTGCAAAGTCAAACGGCTTTGCTTTCAATCCCTTGCCTTGCTCTGGTTTTCCTGGGGCTGTTCACACCTAGCCCTCTTTACTCCCCTGCCCACCCCATGCTGGGTGGTGGACATGAATCTCTTGTCAGTGGCTGCTGTCCAGTTTCCTCTTTGAATCTCCACGCCTCTGGCAAGGCTTAAACTAGACAGCTTCATCAGCATATCAGACATGCTCACCATATTTAAAGGCTTCCTGAAATCCTAACCTCTTCAGGAATTAGAGAACCTGGCATATAGTAAACATTTGTTCTATCCCAAAGAAAGTTGATTCCCTCACATCCAAGCAATTTCTGTCCTCAAGACTCCAAAATATTGCTTAAAACACAAAAAGCAAACATGTCCACCAAAACTTTTTGTGGTGGGTGTGGTGGGGGGTAGGGACTGAACTCAGGGACACTTTATCACTGAACTGTATCCCTAGTCCTTTCTTTCTTTCGTTTCTTTCTTTCGTTTCTTTCTTTCTTTCTTTCTTTCTTTCTTTCTTTCTTTCTTTCTTTCTTTCTTTCTTTCTTTCTTTCTTTCTTTCTTTATATCTTGAGACACGGTCTCACAAAGTTGCTGAAGTTGGCCTCAAACTTGTGATCCTCCTGCCTCAGCCTCCTGAATCACTGGGATTTATAAGGGTATGCCACAGCACCTAGCCCACCAAAATTTTTATAAACTACTCTCATTCTAGGTTTTGCTTTTTTCCCTTAGAATGAGCCTACACTGATCTGAGAACTGACTTTAGAATTCCTTCTTAATAGTATCTGTTTGCCAGGTGCTCTGTTGAAAGCCTGTAATCCCAGCTACTTGAGAGGCTGAGGCAGGAGGATCACAAATTAGAATCCAGCCTCAAAAATTTAGCAAGACCCTGTCTCAAAATAAAATACAAAGGGCTGGGGATGTAGCTCAGTGGTAGAGCAGCCCTGAGTTCAAATCCCAAGTATTGGAAAAAAATAAGAAGTATATATTTAAAATGCTTCTTAATGAGTATGATTTTTTTTAATATGTCCCCAAATTCTTTGGCACTCTTCCTATTAAGATGTGGGAATTGTGTATCTGTCTGTTGAATCTTAGCTCCGCAATTGCTTGTTAAATAGAGAATAGAAAAGTGATGCTGTTCGTGAGATAGGCCTTAAGAAACTAGCACCATCTGCTTCCTGCCTCTTGGGATACACACTGTTGGAACGTAGCCACCATGTGTTTAGGAAGCCCAAGCAGCAAGAAACTCAAATGAAAAGGAATTCAGGCCATTTGCTCTCCACCCCAGCTGAGCAAACAGCTGACCTCTGGCATCAACTTCTCAGGCATGTAAGTGAGCCATCATGTGAGTGAATTCTGCAGTCCCTTCTGTATTGCTGTGTGAAGCAGAGAAACCTTCCATGTTGAACCCTGCCCAAGCTGCAGATTCATGAGCTAAATAAACGATTTTTATTGTTTCTAAACCACTAAGTTTGTGGGTAGATTGTTGCTCAACAATATGTAACTAGACAATGGCATGCTTGGGTTTTGAAGGTAAGATCTTCTGGATAGAATGTAAAGGGCCTGCATTAATAGGGCTTAATTAGGTGGCTAAACTGTTCTATAGAATAAATGACAGGCACCTGGCATGATGGGACACACCTGCAATTCCAGCTACTTAGGCAGCTGAGGCAGGAGTATTTCAGGTTTGAGACTACCCTTAGCAACTTAACCAGATCCTATCTTAAAAAAGAAATGGGGTTGTAGCTCAGTGGTAGAGTGCCCCTAGGTTCAGTTTCCAGTCACACACACACACACACACACACACACACACAAAACAAAACCAGAAAATCGAAAGTTTGAGAGCCAGCAAACTAGAGAACAGAGGAAGAGGAGAGCTAAAGGAGAGAGCTCCAGCCATAGGGAGAGTGGTTGGTGCATCTATGAACACAACAACCAGTGAAAATTACCTTGGCACGGGACTATTAAAGAATAGGAATTTGGTGGTTCAGGTTTAAGGTGTGTGATAATGCAGCTTGCCTGTCATGTGATGGACCTCTTACTAATCCCTATCCTGTTTATCTAAATCTTCAGCAAAATCCTGTCCCCCCACCCCAGCCTGTGAGTCTGGAATACTTGGGATCGGGTTGGTATGCGGTCATAAAAGCTACTGTAGCAACACAAGGCAGAGAACAGTAAGCACCTGAGCAAAATGATGGAGACCGTAGTTTGAAATGCATTGAAAGGAAAAGCTGGAGGAGGTAATTTGAAAACATAAGGTCTGTAACTGAACTCCTTTTTTCTTGTTGGCTCTGTGTACCCCAAGCCCTGGACATATATGAGGAATCCTGGATATCCTTCTTTCTAGGGTATCGGTTAGAGTGTCTTGGGCTTCAGTCCTAAGACTTAGTGTCTTCAGGTGACTGGTGGATGATTTAATAAGAGATACATCACAGCACTGAGCATCAGTGTGCAGGAGGTATTTAAACTGTGTGCCTGTGGTATCTAGTTTTAAGAAAGATGACTATTCTTTTCCTGGGCCTCTAGGTGGCCCTCAGGGACACCTGTTGTCCAGGTAACTCTATGGTGTCAGCAAAGCATCACATACCTGGGTAGGTGCTCCTCAGAATGCTGCTTAGACCAGACTCAGGTTGGCCAGGTGAAATTTTCTGGGTATAGGTAAAGACCTATAAGAGACTTCTAATTTCCAGAGATGTAAGACCATAAATTTGCATTTTCTTAGCCACTAAATCTGTGAACATTTCTTGCCACAGCAATAGAAAATGAATTACAATTAAGTGAAATATTGAGTATTTCAGTTAAGTGAAGGATTAAAGCTATAAACCAGGAGAAAATGAAACTGTTGAAAATGTCCAAAGGATTGTTTTGTTTTGATGAAGTTACAATAAAGACAAATGATGCATGTTTTCTTTGCAGTCACTTTTACTGGAAAAAAAAAAGAAACAACAAAACATTTTTTTTTCAAAACAGTCAAAATAAAAAACCAATGCACAAGATTGCACAATCGTTTACAAATGCTGGCAATTAAAGGCAAGTAGTCTAGTCTCACAAGATCCTTGTCTAAGTAGTTTTCTCCATGTGCAATACACTGAAAAGGTAATTCTTGGAGCTGTAGAGTTGGATTCAAAGCCCCTTTAGCCAAGCTCACTGCATTCTGTCATTGAATAACATCAAACCTCAGGTAGGAACTTTTCTTCCAAGATTTCTATGTTGATTGTAGTTTAAAATTTCACATTCTTTCCTTATGCCACCAGGTTTATTCACAGTCAGCAGTATAATTCAGTCTTCTCCAGCGTCCTTCCTTACATATCACACAATGTCCTCTCTTTATTCATACGTAACTTCTACAGTCTTCACATTCTTTTACAGCCAACACTGTCTTTACTATACAATAATATAATTTATATGTAAATACAGAAATGCATATTTTCATGGGTGGGGGTGGGGGTGGGGGTGGGGAAGGGGGAGAGCCTCCAGTTAGAAAATGCATACAAGTATGGCAGGTAATTCAGGAAACCTGAGGAAGAACTTAACACTAGCTTGTAAAAAGTAATTCAGAAATTAAAAAAAAAAATCAAACTAGATGTGTGTGTGTGTGTGTGTGTGTGTGTGTGTTTTATTCTGCACCATTATGAATTAAACAGGAATAAATCTAATGATGTACTCTAGCTGCAACATGAAACACCGAATGCTAACACCTGATAAATGATGCTGTGAACATTCAGTTTTCTTCTGAGATGTGGGGCATACAAAGGAGTCCAATTTTCAGAATCCTCCCCTGGGCCTTGTCCTCATATATGTCACAGATGGACATGATCCCTTTCTAGAGGACGAAAGTCTGCAATTCTGATTAGATTCAAGCTCAAGGCACCATGTAGCAAATGCTACGTGCTTCGTTAATGATTTTATGCACCTGTGAGGTCTACTTGGGACCCAGAAGTTAAAGAATATATAAGCAGTCTCTTGAAAATATATATCTTATCTATGTATATATCTCCTTAGAAATCATGTAAAAGCCTAACATAGTTTATGGGATTGATTTTTTATAAGCAGTTTTCTCGAACAAACTTACACATAATTTTCCCCTTCAACAGTACTGATAAAATACAGGGCACCTTTTTCTTTCAAGTATTTGGGTAAAATAACATACCCTGAGAATTTGGGGTGCAAACCTACACCTTGTAAACTGTAGAATGAAACTCCTCAAGCACCACATAGGAAAATATATAGCATGATAGTTCTATACAAAGATTATTGTTGACTGTGTTTTCCCATGCACTTACACAGACTTATCATGAGGTTATAGTCAGTCTACTTAGGAATCAATACTGTCCTGCAGTCTGTAGTCCAAAATATTATTTCGGGTAGCGTGAACATTCAATTTGTAGCAAACACAGACTTTCATTTCTATGAAGGATGAAGACAATCAAAATGCATTAAATCTTGTGAAGAAGCAAAGATGATAAAGTCAAATCTGAAATTAAGAAAAAGGAATTTCTATCACTTGATGTTTCCTAGTGATCTGAGGACAAATTTGAAATTCATGTTAATATTTGAGAATTATTTTTATAATGTTTTCAAAGTGTAATTTTTTTAGCTTATTTACTCAGTGATAAACATACAGAAAAACTATATCCTGAGTCTTTACCAGTGTATCTGGGCTTCATTTAATCCTGAGTGCAATTTCAGTGAGTGTTTTCAGGAAAATACATTCTGGAGAATACAATTTTCATATGGATTACAGATGTGTTCTAAAAACTCTCCAAATGGGCCTATTTCAATGTGGCCTTTCACCAACAGGAAAAAGAAAGAGGAAATGGGTCAAGATTTGTACACAGAGTAATCTGTGATTTTTCTAGAAAAGTGAGCTACACCCATAACCCTGAGTGGAAATCACAAAAGCCAAACTCCACAATTCTGATTAGATTCAAGCTCAAGGCTTTCTTTAGGAAATGCTTTATTCGTGGTTTATGTATATAAAACATAAATCGGGTCTCAGTGGCTATAGAACATTGTTAGGGTAATAAATAGTTTGAGGGCTTCATAGACTTTTGTTTTGTTCCATTTTTGTTGAAAAGGAAGGGCATAATCACTTCATTCAAATGTCCATGCAACCTCAAGAAATGACTAAGCAATGAAAAGGAGGATGGAAATTTCCCTTACGCCTGTGAAAACGTTCTTTTCCTGTCACTTAAGGGAGTAAATGGCCTACAGGTTTGTTTGGTATGATGACATTACCACTAGCCCATATGGAACTCAGAGAACAGCAACTTCCCCGTGGACTCAGCCTCTCAGAGCCAACAAATGAAAAATTCTTTCCCAGTTTCTATCCTAGTTTACCTCAGTGTGAGAACCGAAGGCTCAGATCTGCTGGTGATAAATATCGGTAAATAGCTAATGGGCAGCTCCACCCTCAGCCTTACCCCATTCTCTAGGGAAGGAGTGTTCTCCATTTGGAGGAACTGGCAAGTAGCCATGGCTCAGTGTGGCCACTGGGCTTTCTTGAAAGTCCCCTGTTTTTTAAACCAGTCTCACATCTTGTAACTGTACACATTGTACGCCCACGCCCTATGTAAGTTTCACTACTCAAGGTCAAATACTTGAGATTTCATGGTGCTGATTTGAGTGTTCATAGTCTGAAATTTTTAAAACGAATGCTACTTTCTTGTTTCCATATGAAACGACCTTATTTCCAACCAATCTCTCTCAAAAATGAAGAAGCACTGATGCTTTAAGATTCCCCCCCCCTCCCAGTGATGAAAAATTAAGTTCTGGAGTGAACCTACTCATGTACCTGGGTAAGAAAACCTCTATAATAAAGAAAAAGTGTTTTCCCAAATATGGCATGAGCTTCTTTTCCATACAGAAACTATGCTTCATATTTCATGTCTCATGGAGATGAAAGCTTCATTTCACAGCTCATTGGCCCAATGAGTAATTGAATTGTGGTGAGATTTCCTGTGTCAAATATTTCTCTTTACACAAAAGAACTTTTTATTTTTTTTAATGAGATTCCCGCTAAGAAATCCCCTGAAAGTGCCTTTGTTGTTGTTTTTTAAAAAGTCTAGATGAGAAGCATAATTACAGAGTAATAAGATTATATTAATCATATGAAATCCAGTCTCATGAATTACATATAATTCTGTGGCTTTGAGAGCAATTGTTAAGCTGAAACCAAATACTGACAATCATTCATATCAAAATAATGCTTCTGAAAAATTACCAAAATGCCTTGGCTTTAAACAAATAAGTTCATAAAAGGAGACTCCTGAAAGACAGTCTGGGAGAATTGTTTGGGTTTTAAAGGGATATTTCTTTATAAAGGAATTAAGAAATATTTCAATGTAACCTCTGTTGAGTGGATATTGACACCTTATAAATTATGACAAGTTAAATAAGTGTCTGTTCAATCAACCCTTCAGACTCACTGTGAACACTCACTCAAATAGCCTTCAGAATTGGATTACAACGGAGGCAATATCAAATGTCAGTGAAAGATCCAGTGATTTGGATTTTTTAACATCTCTTAAAACCTGCCTCATAACAAGCAAGCACTGTAATTCTAGGTTACTGCTTTGGGGAGGGCCAGGGCTAGAGGGAATTAGAGCCCCTGAATTAAGAGTTCACATTCTACTCAACTGCCCCAAACAGGTCACTCTTCAGACTCCAGTCTGTGAGAGACAGGAGTGTACAACTATGGAGGGAATCACTAGGGAAAAAAAAAAAAAAAAGGCTACACACTCATAACAAATGTTGGATTTTTAAAGGGAAATAGATATTTTATACCTTTCTGAAACAAAGAACTTAATTTTAAAGGCAGTCACTGACTTTCCACTGTTCAAAGCCAATCTATTTTAAGGCAACAAATAGTGTCATGGCATTGTACAAGTGGGAAAAAATTAAAACAAAGCACAAAAGTTAAAACCATTGTTTTCCACAATCACATTTGAAATCATCCCAAGCCCAATAAAAGAACACAGAGCACAAACAAGAGAAGGTTTAGCTGATATATGATTCCAAGAGCAGACCCAATATATTTTACACCTGAATATGTGCTACAACTCTGCCAGCTACCTTTGATAGAGTCCAAGAACCGGTAAGGTGATTTGTGATCCAAATTACTGATTTGCTCACTTTGTTTACAACAGAAGCCATCCCATTCGGTTGTGGGTTTTGATTGAAGCATGGCAAACACTTAAGGGATTGTTTGCCTAGTCAGGAGTGCAAGAGGGAGGGAGGCGAACAGAAAGCTTGTCTCTTGTATTAAAGTATAAAAAGAAATAGTTTTACAGGGGGAAAAAAATGCAACCATTCAATCATCTTAGTGAAACTTAAATAACAAAACTGCCTTTAAGAGAATTGTTCAGGAAAATATGAAAACTTACACACTTGGTTTATAAGAAGCAAAAATTAAGAATTACTCATGTGGAGGACATTTTTCAGCTGGATTCATAGTGCTATTACATTTCAACTTTTAGAGAGTTGTATTTCTGTCTTGCTCCTACAAAAAAAAAAAGAGTCAAAGAAAAGAAGGTTAGTTCTAAACACACATCTCACTTTCAAAGAATCAAGAAAAATGTCAAAATATATTTTATTTAGTCTTTAATCTAGTTTCATGATAAATAATGGTGAAGCTTACATTTTAAAATGTATGTGTCAAGAAGAAAAACAATTAGACATTACTCTGACTTTAAGAAAATGCCCCGAGGTGGAATTTCTCTTTGAAAATTGAACTATTCAAAAAAATAGTTTTAGAATCAAGTGTTTAGTTTCATTTCACGTATATCAAGGATAAGACAATATAATATATGTTCCTAAAATTAGCAGGCAGAATTGATATTTAAACTAAATGGAAACATTTGAAATTAACTATGAGTCAGTAACCTAATAAAATGAATAAACTCTACACTAAGGATTCTTGTAAAGTAAATGACCACTAATGAAATTCTGTGTAATTACACACAGTGTCTTTGGCTTTAAATAAAATATACTGATTATAACCTATAACTTATTTACATCTGTTCTAGTTCAGCACTGGCAGAGTCAAAACATACTCAAAGTCAGACCTTTCTTTCTGTTTTTTTTTTTTTTTATATATAATTTTGTAGATCTATTAGAACTTTACTGAAGGGATACATTTTTAACACCTGAGAGTTGATATTTGGACTTAATATTATGAAGATAGAAATAGATTGGACTACAGGTAGTATTTGTTAGGGATTAAAAAGACTCTATCATGGGGAAAATAAGCTGCAAGTATTATCAAATAACAACTATCTGACCAATTATATGCAAGGGATCAAGGCAAGGGATATTTTAATCCTGTCATCTAGAAAAAGATCTGTCTAAATATATGCTTAAGAAGGACATCTATAGGAATAATTATGGTTTTATAGCTCATGCATATATTTCACATTTATTTTATTGTTTCATATTTTATGAGAAATAACCTTCATGAATTTTTTGTGTGTTTGGAGATCTCTTCTTTGCTAAACTAATTTTTCAATCTTACGACAAATAGATTAGTAAGAGGAAAAGGGGAGGAGAGACGGGCACAGTAGCCCACACCTGTAATCCCAGTGGCTTGGGAGGCTGAGGCACAAGGATAGCTAGTTCAAAGCCAACATTAGCAATTTCGTGAGTCCCCAAGGAACTCAGTGGGACCCTGTCTCTAAATAAAATACAAAATAGGGCTGGGGATGTGGCTCAGCGGCTGAGTGTCCCTGGGTTCAATCCCTGGTACTGAAAAAAAAGTGGGGAGGGGAGGACTAAGAGACTAAGAATGATAATTTCAGTGTGTATCAGGGATTTGAAAATAACTCTGGCTGTGTTCTCTTCCAAGGCAAGGTTTGTAAAGATTTGAGCACTATGCAAAAACACCAAGAGGGTGGTGGCCTATACTCTGGAACAATGACAATGAGAAATGGAGGAGAAATCTGTTTATACAATCTACTAGGATCATATCTGGGGATCAGTGGAGTAGATTTCGCCTGTTTGGATATTCATAGGATATTGCCTCTATTTCCATTAACTTCAGAGAAATTTTGTTTGAAAGTAATGTATCTTTCATATCAAAAGTCAATTGATTTCATGAAAGTAATAAAGTTGTTTCAAATTTTATTAAAGATAAAATAGTAGGAATTGCCAAATTAACCCATCAGAGGCCTCATGAACCCTGTGTGTGTGTGTGTGTGTGTGTGTGTGAGAGAGATAATAGATCATAAAGAAGTCAGCAGAGATAAAGGGGAGACTGTACTGTGTTACCACGGAGTCTGGCTGGATGATTCTCTACAACTTTAGAACCAGGACACATGACAGAGTTCAGCAGGGATGCTGGGTCATATTTTCCCTTGCTCCACACAGCCCTGTGCCCAGACAGAGAGGAAAATCACCACACACAGTTGGCAAGCTAGGCCCAGAGTTGTATAACATTCTGGAAGGCTACGGGGGATACTAGAGTACCCTGAGGCACAGCCAACTAGCCTGCCCTGAGGGGACTGTTGGGCTGAGGGCATTGCCTTCAACTTGGGGAAACACAGAGCAATCCTGGGCACAGGCTCTGATTTGGCTCCGGGTGTCTGCAGAGACAAGGGCTGAATTTTGCTGTGATGGGGGGCCCTGAGAAGATGAGAGGAGCTTGAGGCATTTATGAGGCTCCAGTCTCCAAAAAAAAAAAAAAAAAAACAGCTACGGGTGTGACTCAGTGGTTAAGTGCCCCTGAGTTTAATACCTGGTACCAGCGCCCCCACCCCCACACAAAAAAAGTATTACTATTTTGTAGATGAGGAGACTGAGGCTCAGGGAAAGCAAGTTACTTGCCTAGATTAGTAAGTAACAGAACTTGAGTCAGGGTTGCATGACTTCAAGGAATATGTACTTATGTTTTAGTCACAGCCACACAGCTCCCTTCGACTATATTTTAACCCCCTGCCATCCAGGAACTTCCCACGCTCACCTGCACAACCCACACCTTGCTCTCCTTACACACACACATACAATATCTCATCACAGGAGCCATCACCTCTGGGCATGCTGAAACTGGCTAAGATTTCTACTTGGGGCATAAAATGTTCTAAGAACAGCTAATTTTCTAATCAAAAGAAAAACACATAGAGAGATTTAGTATATGTGAGACATTATCAGATTTGGGATCAATTTTTTAACTTATTTCCTCCTCGACCTTTCCTGCCCCTTCTCTGAAACCCAAAACACACACACACACACACACACACACACACACACACACACACACACACACCAAGGCAGTGAAATGACTAGCAGATTCTATTTACTCTTGGATAGGATTTTCATTTTCCTTTGAATGAAACTGAAGTTAGGAAAATCAGCCAGTCAACCAACAGCTGTGCTTTCTCCTCCACAAGGACATAAATGTGTCACATAACTAATCCTTTACCAAGCTTATTGACCAACAGGCAAAAGGCAGTAGCTGCAAAATTTTGGGGAAGCTAGGTAGAAAGACAGAAAGTACAGATAAGGGAAGAGAGACAATTCACAATAAAGAAAAAGAGAGCAGAGAGTAAAAGAAGTTGGTGAGCAACGAGTTCCTCTATAATAAGACCATGAGGATCTAGGATGAGTTCTCTTTTGGTTGTCAAAGAGGAATTAAAAATGTACCCACTTGCTGAAGAATCCAAAGGCATGATGTTAAGTCTTGGCATATAATAAATGACCGACACACATCAGATATTAGTTTTTGTTTTTTTTTTACTAACCTTAGAGTAGGGAAGAAAATATTAAAAAACAGAATTGTGGAGAAAGGCACAAAATGGTACGCTGGAGGGAGGCCTCCCTCCAGTAAAATTGATGGGAAAAAGAAAAGGCAAAAAGACATCAAGAATAGAATAAAACGAATTAGCAAATTTTTACAATGATTGAGAAAGCAAAGTACAACCAAGTTAGAGGGAAAGCAGAAATAAATTCATTATTTCATGAGTGTAGTTGTGGGATTAAGTGAAGACAAACCATGGAGCTTACAGCTTCCATCCACCGGGTCTCCAGGGGCAGTCACATTTCTGTCCTTCCCATGACCCATCAGGGAGATGCTCAAGTGAGGGAGCTGGCAAGGCCCACCCAGCCCTGCCCTTCAAGCTGTCCAGTCTGTGATAAAAACAAACTACAGGCAGTGAGGAGGGGGAAGACAGTGGGGGGCACTGAAGTCAATTATGCTGAAGTGAATGCGAAATGAGAAACACCATAAGAAAGAAATGGCAAATAAACAGAAAAGAGCCCAAAGTAATTTCTCAAACACACAGCAAAGGAAAAAGGGAACAGTGGGATAGAAACCAGGAAATAAGACCATCAAAGAAAAGTGGCCTTAAGGAAAAAGAGAAGCAGAAAGGATCAGTAACCAAAACAGACCCTGGTATAAATATTTAGGGTTTCAGTCTCAGCTCCAGAGGGACATTGTGACTGAAGAAAAGACTCGGTTCCCTCCTGCAATCATAATACGAAAGGACTGGATTGGATCACCTGAGGACTCCTCTGGAGCCCCTTGGAATACCCCATGAAAACAGCTCTCCTCGAATCCAGCTTTGTCTTCCACTTCAGTGGCTGATGTGTGGAGCTCTGTTTAGGGGGTAGCAATAACTCAAGGAGAAAAGAAAACACCAATAATGTAGGAGCAACATGAAGCACACTCAGAAATGAAGAAACAAAGCCTTACAGAAAAAAAAAAAAGGAAGAATGTTCAAATGAAACAAAATTATTGCAATTCGCTTAGAATGGTACCTCCTCTGTTAGCAAGCAGAGCATCCGTTAGTTTCCTTTTGTTAGTATTACATGCTTCTTTTATTTTTATGCCCTTATAAATGGTATTTAGTATCAAGTCTCAATTAAAAATTTAAAACAGAATTTTGCCTTCCAAAGTGGGTGGACAGGAGAAAACATGAGAATGAATGTCAGGAGAGGAACAGCACAGCCACGTGTCTCAAATGACAGAAACCCAACACAAAGTCGTCCATCAAAAAGCATCAAAGATCCAAAATATACAAACAAACGCAAAAGTCCTCACAAAAATAGACTGGTGAGGTTTTGCAACTGATGTGCCTGGCACACTGGTGTGTTTTCGAATGGGCTGCCTCTGTGCCTATGTGACCCCTGGGCCACCGGGTACTGAGTGGTGAACTGCCTTGTGCAATTGTCACAATGAGCAATGGCATCACTAAATGATAATGAAATAAATATATGTTACTAATTATCTAAAATAGGTGTGGCATAGCAAAATTTGAGTACTGGAATATTGACCACAGGATGAGAAGAAGCAAGAAAAATCCACCCATGAAAGGAAAATTCCTAAGGGGGTCATCAGAAAAAGGAGAGCTGGTAGTGCTCAAATATACACCAGGAGGAAAGAAGGAAAGCTCCCTGTTACAATGTAGTGCTAAAAATAGATGGTGAACTGCTTATTCTCTGAGCTGGAAGGAATCTTAAAGGTTATGACAGTTCTTGAACACGGGGTTTGCAGTTTTGTGTGCAGACATCTTCCTCCACTGCTGGAGTGCAATCTCCTGACTTGGGGAACTGCCTTGGGTCACATGTGGGTTTACAGCCTTGCCGCAGAGTGGCTGATGAAATGCAGGCACGGAATTTGTGTTCATTGAATGGATGAGAAAACTGGTACATTTCCTTCAAATGTGTATTTTACAAATGTCCAGAAAGGCCAATGGCAGTGTAGATGGTTAATGGCCAACTGTCACTAGGGAAAAGATCCCAGATGTCCTTGCTGGCAGGTCAAAGCTCACCATATCTCCTCTGCCAGCTCTCTTTTACTCTATGCATCCTACTAAGGAACATCAAGAGTGTCCTTGCAGGGATTGTGGTTGGCACCGGAATGAAGACTCAATGCCAAAAGTCCTGGTTCTCTCACTCTCTGGGGACTTCAGCAAAATTATCTCTTTTGAAGTTCCAGTTTCCTTCTCTGTGAAATATTGTGACTGGATCAAATCATGTATGCAACTTTTCAGTTGAACTGAGGACACAAAACCCTACGCTGGGAAAATCCCTGCCACCAGGAAAATCCACAAGACAACAACTCAGTTTTTCAAGGAAATATTGAACTGAGACCATCTTCCAAGACTTTTCACACTGACCAATCACACAAGCATTAGTCATTTGAACAATGCTTTAAAATTTTTTCATCCTGAGAAAAGAACTACCCGCTTTTTTAAAAAATCTGACTTTAAAAAAAGATGGTAGAGAACTTTCAAGAGGGTGAGTTTTGAAAGATTTTAATTCATATCTGAATTTGATTGACTTCATTTTTGCTTATACACAAAAAAGCTAACATTAGAGAATTTTTTAATACTTATTATTATTATTATTTTTTTTTTTTAGTTTTTGGCAGACACAACATCTGTTTGTATTTGATGCTGAGGATCGAACCCAGGCCGCACGCATGCCAGGCAAGTGCGCTACCGCTTGAGCCACATCCCCGCCCAAACATTGAGTTCTTGATGAATCATTAAATCAAGAAGCCAGCCTGTGTCTAGCTTTCGGGCTATTTACTACCATAAAGATTGTGCTTTCAAAAAGGGAAAAAATTATCAAAAATCATTTTTCAAAGATGCAAAAGTGTGATTTATATCTGTGTCTGATGGAAAAACTCCAAGCCTAATCTCTCCAGACTCAGCAGACAGAAGAAGGTCCAAGGCTTCTGCTAGGCAGACACCATAGGAGTGTGTCCCAGTTATGATCCCTCCTCTGCTCTCTGTCCCCATTTCCCTTGCTGCTGTACTTCCAGGGCTTCACAAACGCCTTGTAGGATTAGCTGGTCCAAAATAGCCCTAGGTAAACATTCCACCTGTCCAGGAGATTAGAATGCTTTTGCCTTTGGGCTCCTTTTTTCCTTCTGCAAAACTAATCCTCAATTCTGAGTTTTCTCCACTTGCATATTGATTTTTTTCTTTATTTTGTATGCCAAACAAAAGATGCATTCTTTATTCCCTCCACTCCCAGCAATTTGTGAACATCACACAATTCCTGTTGAAAACTCTTAGAGAGGAACAATAAAAATCACCTATTTCTAGTTTGCAACTAAAAGGAGTCTTGTGCTTTCCCCTGGATTCTTGGTGAAAGTCCTAAGGATTTTTGAACAGTGCCTACTGCTGTCTTACAGTCCAATAAATGTGATAATATAGAACAATGATCCCTTAATTTGGAAAAAGTTTTATAACTTACAATGCACTGCTCTAGAATGTGACAGGCAGCTACATATTGAGAGACACACCCTAGGGATAACCCAGCAATGCTAGAGTCTGTCATGCCACAGCTAACATAGCTGGTGAGAAGCTGTATGACTTTTGAGTCAAGTGAACCTAATTTCTAATTGAAATTTCTTTCATTGCACAAAACAGCACCGTTCCTCTGCTCCTTTTCAGTCACACGAGGAAAGAAAAATGAGGCTTATTTCTACTATAGAGGCATGAGTGGGATTTTTTTTTTCTTACTTCAATCTTCTTTTTTTCATTCACTGACATCTTACTAAAGAGTGAAAGTCCTACCTAGAAGTATTTGTGATCTCAACTCTTCCCATTCTGAGGAGTACAGGAATAAGAAGGGCAAGCTTGTCCCCACTGTTCTGAGATCTTTACGCTCTTGTCTGAAGGTGTCTTTGCCCAGACTCATGTGTTTGACCTGAAGTGTCCTGGTTCAGACCAGCCAAACTCACTCCTCATATCAAGTTCCAAGGACTGTATTTACAGCAGGGATTCCTGTCTGTGAGTGTGGATTAACCTAGGTGTCAGGAATCTATTTTCTCTGATTTTTTTGCAGAGGGGTAAGCAATGAAGTTGATTTGTTTCTGAAGGGAGAGAACACAGATATGAAATGAGTGCCCTTCGGGGATTAGCCATGGAGCATGATCAATTCAGTCAGAATAGGACTGAATTAACTCCATCCAAAGAACAACTGCATCTCCAGAATCTCCCCCTTTCCTGGAGGTTAAAGTGCAAAACTTTGGGGGAGGGAGGCAGGAGCTAAGATACATTAAAGACCTTGTACTTGCCCAAAGAAAATGTGTTCTGATCATTTGAAAACCAAAAAGCAATACACTCCCTTTGTATAAGAATTTTCAAAAGGAAAATGAGCGTGGGGGGGGGGGGAAGGGGTGAAGAGGAGAGAGAAGCATTTCTGCAGATTTTAGTAAACCTTCCTACCATGCAAGCAACAGCCTTGGACTCCTCTTACTTCTTGGGGAGCAAACAGATTAAAGGTGTCCAGTGATCTGAAATGTTAGTGCCTGTCACTGTGCTGTCAGAAATTGTGGGGCTTGCTGTTCAATATCCAGACCAGATTTTCATTTCTTTTTCCTGCCAAGTTCTACCAAAGGCTGAAGGGACAGATGGAAGGTTCTCTTTCCTCTTATGGGGGGTGGGGGTGGGGGAGAAACGCTCAAGCATTTTGAAAAAGTAGAAGGGGAAAGGCTGGTAAAGGGGACAGAGGAGTCGGGAGAGAAGAAACCTGGAGAGCAAATGAGCTCCTTCAGACATCACATGGGATTTAGTTTTATTCTTCCAAACTACCTATTTCTAGAGACCATCTCTTTGGCTGTAAATCTCCCACTTCAATCACCAAGAAACGGGATTGTTCTTGCTCTCCTAATCCTGACTATCAAAGTAAAATTCACTCACCAGCAGCTGTTCCAATCTGCTTTCTGGTGACTTCTCGTCATCTGTGTTCCACCACAAAGCTCATGGTGGTGCCATCAAAGGAAGGGGGAGCAATGATCCGCGGTCCCAGGGGCTGCGAAGTGATGCTGATGACAGGTTTGCCGTGCAGCTGGGCAAAGCCCTTGGCTCCCACCAGCTGGGATGTGGCTGCTGGGGCTGAGGAGGAAGAGGTGGCAGGAGACTGACCAGAGGCCATGAAGTAGGGGGCCTCTGTGAAAGTTGCAGCTGCCTCTTTGTTGTGCGGCTCTGTCGCCATTGAGAGCTCACCACCCCCTGGAGGGTGAGCAATTGGTGTGGGCTGCAGAGCATTGGTGGGCAGCATTGTGGGCAGAAACCCAGGGTAGATCATGTAGGTGGGTCCATAGGCCCCAGGACTCAGGGCCAAGGGAGGCACAGGGAGGGACATGGGAGTCACAGCCTGCTGCTGGGAGGTTATGGGCACATCCACATACTGCCCTGTCTCAGGGTCAAATAGTCTCCGAGTCATGGGCTGTACTGGTGTGTCCACCAGATAGTACTGGCCCGTGGTCACATCCAGGAGCATCTTGCGCTGAGTTTGCTGAGGCGGTGACTGCTGGAAGGGGTCTGTAGGAACAGCAGCTGGGCCTGCAGGAGCTGGGGCAGGCATGCCTGGTGGTGAGAAGCAGAGGACTTGAGGTTGGGCACCCTGGAGGGTAAAGGGCAGTGGCTGCTGGTGGTAGATGGCAGTGGGTGTATGCTCGGGGCTCTGTGGCCCTGAGCGGGCAGCTGCTGCTGTCTCCCGGGGGTTGTCAGGTTTGGTACGCCAAGCTGGCCGGCTGGTTCCACTGACCTGAGAGCCCTTGGGGCTACTGGAGACCTGACTTCGGGCACTCAGTGGGGGTAAGCTGCAGAGAGTGGCAGCTGAGGAGATGGGGGCCCCCTCTCTTGCAGCACCAGGTCTACCAGGTAACTCTCCTGCAGCAGACGTTCCCTTAAGGGGGATAGTCAGGTAGTTCTCACAGTCACTATTGCTCTTCTCCAAATTGATGCCACTTTTCCTGTTGGTCGCCTCATTGGGTGGTGCCTGGGTGGCCGGAGAGATCTTGAGGGACCGGAGTCCCTGTGATTTGATGCCCTTGACCACTGAAGAGCTCTCTGGAGAAGGCCCTTGTGGGAACTTGCCAGCGACACCCCCAGTTTTCTGAGTGCTACTGGCACTCACTGTGAACACGTTCCGGTTGCTGGGGAGTGGTGGGAGGGGCTGCAGAGGCTGGGTTCTTTCCACATCTTTGTGGACAGGGGGAATATAGAGGGATCGGGGCCTTTCCCTGGCCATGTTCTCAAAGGCGGCTGCCCGGGCAGACACACTCTCGGTGCTGGGGTTGGAGTTTCTCCTCTGCAGACGTTCCACGGAAGCCCCTCTCAGGACCACAGCACCTTTGTTTCCGGCACCTCGTTCTTCCACCTCACCTAGTCGTTTGGCCAACTTGTCAGGGTTTCCCTCAGGACCCACCACCCCTTCCCTCTCCTCACTGGCAATGAGTGACAGGACATGACTGTCTGTCATCATGGGCAAGGGATCACTTTTCCGTTTCCACTCATTCCTGTTGAAACTGTACAGCTCTTCCATGGATCTCACTGCAGCCGTCAGCTTCTCCAGGGCATTTCGGGCTGGCTTTGGGGTTTTACCTTCCTCCTTAATGTCCTCCTCCTTGGTTTTCTCTGGGGTCTTCTGAGCAGCAGCCTTGGAGACAATCTTGAGCACAGGCAGGTATGAGCCCTGCTCAGGTTTATTGGGGGCAATGGTGGCCACAGGCAGCCTGCCAGATGCCCTGTGTACCAAGACCGTCCCTTCTGGAGAGGAAGAGTTCATGATCCTGCTGCTGTTCCCTTTGCCCATGCCTTCCCTGGGCTCCCGGTCCATGCTGTCTTCTCTCTGGTTCACTACAGCCTGGCACGTAATTACCATGGGAGACAGGGATCTGGATCCACCAGCTGCAGGAGCCAGCTGCCTGGGTTTGGACCCTGTCAGTCCCTGCTCTGGAGTAATGCTGCCTTTGTCACTGCTGTCCCCTGATCCTTTGATTAGTTTTCTGACATCTCTCACCTGGTGGAGGGGCCCTTGAGCCTTGGACTTGTCTCTGACATCTCTCACCTGGAACTGGGGCACTTTTTCCAGATTGTCCCCACGGAACAGTTTCTGCTGTGCCCTGCTGTTGTCCTCAATGGTCTTAAAGAGGTTAGAAGCGCTGCCTCCAGCCAGCTTGGGTGTGAGCAATTTGGCAATATTGAAGTCCGAGCTTGGCTGTTGGACGCTCCCCAGCCGGATCTTGATTTCGGGAGCCTTGGGTCTGATCACTGCCGTGGTTGTGGCCTGGGCAGCAGGGTACTTGGTGGCCTGCTTCCCTGGCTGCTTGTCCTTGGGCGTCTGCTGGATGTTGGGGACAAAGAGACGAGACATGATGGTGGATTTGCTGGCAGAGATCTCCCCGAGATCCGCCCTCCAGTCCCCGCCTTTGGGGAGTTTCAGTTTCCCAATGGGGGCTTTCTCTTCCCGCTTCTCGGCCTCTTTCTCCTTCCATGACCGAAAAGCACTGTTCTGACTGCGGAGAAAGATGCCTTTCACAGTCTCTGAGGCACTCTTTTTAATTTCACACACTTCCGTTTGTCCATCCGTGAAACTCCGGCCAGAACCTGCGTTGCCTTCTCGAGGAGTACTGGCTTTGAAAATTGGGGATTTAGACCCCTCCCCACCTGCGTCAGACACACTGACCACCGTGTACTCCGAACCCGCCTCTGAGTGGCGGGAATTCTGCCGCTGCAAGCCCCTGTCTCGCAGTTTCTCAGCCCCAGGAGACCCCTCTGCTTCCTTGGAGGTGCCGGGGAGGTTGTGATGAGATGTGTCAGTGACTTCTCCCCTCTCCATTTTAAACTCGTGCTCCCGTTGCATCTTCTTGGAAATGACATTTTTGAGCAGACTGGATGCAAACTTGGACTTCTTGTGGGGGCCTTCACCGCGGGGGGCAGGCTTGTTGCTTTCAGAGGTCTCTGAGCCATCATCTGTGCACACCGACCCAGGTCCCTTGCTGGAGCCCTTGGTGGCCCTGCAGGGTCCAGTGGCCGAGCTGGCTTTGCTCTCACTGCGTAAATTCAGGGGTTCCAGAAGGGTGACGACGCGAGAACCCGTTTGGATCTGTTTCTGGAAACACAAGGGTGTCTCCACATGTTTGATTTCCCCCTCGACTTTGCTGACCACAAATTCCAAGGCCTTGGTCTGGGACTTCTTGGACTGGATGTAAAGCTGGTCTGCAGTACCACGGGCCCCACTGCCCTTCCTCAGACCTGCAGCCACAGAGGCCGCGCTGCTCCTGAGAAGGCTCTGTTCCACCCTGGCTCCAACACCTCCACATTTTAGGTCCAGGAAGGTTGACCAGCGTCCAAAGCCCACTTCGGAGAGGGTGGTGGAGGACTCACGGGAGCTGATGTTCAGAGCCTCAAAGTAGGGGTAAGCAAGGCTCCGGAAAGCCCGGGAGGTCAGGTTACGCACCTCTTTGTCTGCATCGTCCAGTTCGCTCACCGCACTGGAGGCTCCGCTGGAGTAGTCCACCAGCTCCTTTGCCCGTATGGCCCCGCACCTGGTTTGCAGGCGAGCAGGGACAGCAATGAATTTCTTTGCATGGTCCTGAGCCACGGCTGCAGCCGAGTTTTGCTTCAGTGAACTTGAATTGTGTTCAGCAGCTGTAGAGACTCGGAGGCTCATGTCGCCTTCATGCTTGGCAGCATAAATAATGTTTTGCTTTGCACGCACGTTGCTAGGCTCATTTATAGCCCGGGAAGTTGGTTTGATTGATAGGAGGATCTGGCTTGCTGCACTCCCACAGCTGCTGGCGGTGGTGGCGGCTGCCCCTGAAGCTGCCTCCCGGAGCTCCAGCAAGGGCTCAGGCAGGGTGGCAGTGCCAGGCCCAGTGGGTGGGGGAGTAGGGTCACTGTCGGAGGGGACACTGCCCACTTCCGTGCTGCTGGTGTCACGACCACTGCTGCCTGCACTGAGGCGAGCCAGGTCGCTACTGGTGGGGCTGGGTGTCCGGGTGGCATTGGTGCTGGGAGTGGTGCTGAGGTAGCAGCTGTTGTCGTCGTCCTCTTCGGTGGGGGTGGTGACGTCCCCTGGGGTCTCGTCGCTGCCACCGAAGGAAGCATAATCCACGAACGAGTAGATCACGTTGTTGTCCTCGAAATCCCAGCGGGAGGCCAGCCCCACGTCGAAATCCATGTCCTGCTCCACCTCACTCAGCTGGATCTCATGGGTGGTGATGTAGTGAGCCTCTTCATTTTTGGGGGGGTCCCTGTTACTCTGGGATTTGGCAATAATGGCCCTGCACTCTGTTCCATCTCCTGTCCTCCCTCCCCCTTCCTGCCCTTCTCCTCCTCTTGCTTTTTCCCCTACTTCTCCTCCCTTGGGTGGGCGACTCACTTCGCTCTCACTCTCAAAGCCTAAGGATGAAGAGGAGGTAGCCAGAGCCGCCCCGGATGATGAGGCGGATTCATCCATTTTGGAAAGGCCATGGTCTTCTGCTTTGTCCACAGGGGAGGAGGAGGAGGAGGAGGAGTTGCCACCCTCATCAGTGCGGGAGAGTTGGGAGCTGGAGCGTTCCGAGGAAGCGGGGTTCTTCTGGGGGGTTGGAGTCCTGCACTCTGGACTAGTGGGCTCATCCTGGGCTTTCTCCTTTGGGCTCCTAGAGGCTTTCTGATCCCCGGAGCGGTGTTCCAGTGTAAGTTTCACTGTCCGGGGACTCGCCCTCTGGATTCTGGCTGAAGCGCACATCTCCACATATTTTGCTTCTCGCTGGGAGGAGGCTGAAGGCTGGGGAAGTGGCCGCAGCTGCTGCTGGCGCTCCCGGCTGTCTTGCTTTCTGCTCACTGGATCCTGTACTTGCACCAGTCTGGCCTGCGAGTTCGGCTCAGGAGTGGCGGCTTCCATTCCGAGTCCTTGCCCAGGTTCCAGCGACAGGAAGAGGCAGTGGTGAGCACCCGGGCTGTCTTGGGTCCCTCTTTGGTCCTGGAGGGGCCGCAGTGTTGCCTGAAGCAGGGTCCCACGTGCCTGGACTGGCCCCAAGGCTGTAGGCACCACTGCCACTGCTGTCACCACCTCCCAGGTCTTCAGCCCCTGTGGCGGGGCTGAGGCAAGGCGGAGGGAGGTGGGAAGGCTCCTGGATGGGGCGGCAGAGGTGGTCTGTGGCTGGGGGGCTGCTGCTCTGGCCGAGACTGCAGCCTGTGACTTGTGGCTGAGCTGGCCTGTCCAATTATTTGCCTGGCACCGTGGGCAGCTGGGGGTCTGAATGCCATCAGCCACGGAAGAAGCAGCATCTGTAGGTCGACCCCTGGACTTCCAGAAATGAAAGCAAAGCATGTGCTGTTTCTTGTGAAGCCTTGTCCCTTTCCTGGATGGGGTAAGAGAGGGTCACGTCATTCCAGAAATATTTTTAGTGTCCATTCCCTAGTCATCTCAAAACCACACTTGAGGGAAGAGGGTAGAGATGAAAAGAGGCTGGGGGTGGAGGGATGAGGGTTCCAATTCAAATCAACCAAATGTTCTATGTAATCTATTATAGAGATGTCTAGCAAGTATGCAATTATTCTTTACCCGCTGCCATCTTTCTCTCCTGAGCCTCTGATTAAATGGATTTTCCCCCTTGTTCTGAAACAAAATTCGAATTTTTACACTGCACTTCAAACCAATTGAGGACATTCTGGAAATACTTCAAAATCTCCTTCATACATATGGTAGCTTTATCTTTGCTTCAAAATCTTTGTGTTTTCTTTCTCTTTGGAAAACCAAAACGGAAGAGTACTGGAAATAAAAAATTTTCATAGGAAAATAATATTTCATCCCTCTTTCCCCAAAGTGGCATTCTGTGAAACATAACCTGTTGTTCTCAAATAGGAAGAATCCCTTCTAGAATCCTTGCGGTGATGACTCAAAGTACCAAAGGGCGATTTTCAAAGACCTGAAATTTAGTGCTTTAAATAAATTTTTAATTATAGTCATGAAAAAAGGAACACCTAGGGCCAAAGCTGACACTACTGCAAATCCCTACAATATCTACTCGATCTCAAAATGTTCCCTAAACTTGTAAAACCATGGCAAGACAATAAGCCCCAATTAAATATAGCCCAGGCTGCAAACTCACGATTCTGTTTCGCTGGCTGTATTCCAGGCCCGCAGGGCACGGAGTCAAAAAGCACGAAAGAACAAGGAATATGCTTACCCTTCATCAGTACAGTGCGGCTTGGAGGGAGGTTCAGAGAGGAAATGTGACCCGCTGGCATGCCCCATGGAGACAAAGCCAAATCCCAGTTCACTGCCTCTGAGTTACATCCATTTCAAACAAGTCAGTAGTTGTGCAGGCAAGTTTGCCAGGAAACCCAAGTGGGGGTCTGTGCTGACCATCCTCAGAGCAACTCCTTGAGTACTATCGGTAGAGAACCACATCTTGATTTTGGTGAGATCTGGCCCTTGTCACCTGCCAGGCCCAACTCCACCACTATACATAGTCTATGTGTCACTTACACCGATTGAATAAAGCACTATTTTAAACATCCACATTTGTGGGGAACAAAAATAACACCATCAACCAGCCCCTTCCAATATGAATGCCACCCCCACACGGAAAAATGTTCTTTCCTCTGAAAAGGCATGTGGGTAGGTATGAAGTGGGAGCCCCGAACAACTGAAGCATCCACCTTCTCACACTTGGGTTGTGAACTCATAGCCATCTCCCCTGACAACTCCCTCTGCCCACACCATTGCCATTAAAAACACTACCCAAAGAAAGACTGGCAATATCAGGAATAAGAGTATGGACACAAAGTCAGAGCTCTAGGCAAAGACAGAAGAAAAGAAAAGGAAAAAGTGGCACAATAATCTTGGTTTCCTAGTGCTAGTCATAATAATAATTACAACTAAGACTTAAATAGTGCTTACTACGTGTCAGGAACTACTTCAAGCACCTTTTAAATGTGTATATCATTTAACCTCATAAGAACCTGATGAGTTAGATATAATTATTGCACTGTTTTTGTAGATGGAAAAGCTAAGGCACAGAATTGTTCAAAAATTATGGAGCAGAGTTCACATCCAGGCAATCTGGTTACAGAGCTTGGATCTTAACGATTAAGCTACACAGTCTTACTGACTTCTACACTCACATACTATACAGGGTACCCAGATAATCAATTAGAAGAAGGAATTTATCCAATAGGTAATTTTATTTGCATGACCACAAATAAACCATGTAACAGTTTTGAGGGTTTTTTCCATATAACCAACCCGTGTACATATTAAGTACTTAGGGATTAAGTAACATGATCCTATAAATAAAATGAAATAAAATATTGTTGGCTTCTTCAGGCAAGCAGAGTGTTTTCTTTTGCTCTGAGGTTGATCGTGCCTTGGCTGATAGATCCTGAAGATGGCCTCAAACACTGGGAAGCATACATACCCCATAGTTGAATAGAAGGCAGAGTTTCTGCCCATCAAAGCAATTATAGTCTAGGGAGGAATTTTTCCAGCACTTTCCATATGGCCCTGTCTGTCATGACAACACAACAGATTTCAGCAGAATTTCTCCCAGCAGTTGGAAAACTACAAAATTGCAAGGTCAGATGTCCCGGATGCAGGTTAAATCATAACTTCAGTACCCCCAGTTCTGAAAAATCTCCCTCCAGAGTCTTCCCTCCCTCGGAGAGCACAGTCTTAGCTAAGCCTCTCCAAGAGGCCAACACAGAGGGCTGTTCTAAAACAGGTACTTACCTTCAAGATATCTGTGTAGCTCTCTTTCTGCTGTTTTATCTAAATGAATGGCAGTACAGGAAAAATTTTAAAGGGAAAACTTTTTCAAATAAAGTCAATTTCCAAAAAATCAGTTTTAATTCGAACCACAATTTCTTTAAAAACTTGGAATAGGACAGACTCTACCTATTAAAAGAAAAAAAGTCCATAAATCTAAAAACAGTGACCAGATTTAGGGTAAAACAAGAACTTAAAACTTCTTGCCTCCTGGCATTTTCAGAGTTCTGGGTCATTTTTTGTTACAAAGAAAATAGATGCTCTCAGTTCTGCTGAAATAACTTTCAGTCCTTTGGTAGCCATAGGGCCTTTTTATTCCTTAATGTGACTACAGTCATTTTTTTTTTACAGATGAACTCAGTGATTGCCTACCTGATCTCACTTCTTGAGCAATTAACAGTGACTAATGTTACCAGCATTAACCCAGGGTAAGTGGGCCCACTTACTAAGCCAGGCAAGGTATACTTGGTTGATAACTTTATATGGGAATTCAAAGAGCAACAAAGGAAGTGACTCAGCATCATTATTTTTATCTCTGTAGAGAAAGTTTCTCAGTATTCCCTGAAAGTCTTGTGAAATGTATCACTGTATGTAAAACTTTAACATGATTAAAGAAATGAAGAATGAAAGCCAGATCATCTGCCAGTTAGGAAAAGGATATAGTTATATTTAGGGTCTCTGACAGTGGCATAATGGGATAAATAATATGTCATCGAAAAAGAAGAACAGTTTATCAAAGGGAGACCAAGACTGGAAATGAAGAGAGAGATTAAATGCAAACCACAAAGGAGAAAAATGACTTTCCAAACACAGACATTCTCAGATTCCCTGGGATGAGTGAGGGGTATACTTTAATTGCTTTAAGTTGTGTAAGACTTTCCATTAGCACTTACACAGTTATTAATGCACATTGTTATGAATGAGGGTTTTTTCTTTTCTTTTCTTTTTTTTTTTCTTTTTTTGAGACAGGGTCTCACTTACATTGTCCTAACTGGTCTTGAACTCTCAATCCCCCTGCCTCAGCCTCTAGAGTTATTGGTATTACAGGTGTGTACCATGGCTCCAGGAGGAAGAAGGCTTTTCTTCTGGCCAGTACTTAATGCCCTGTGGACAGCTGTTTCTCTCTGGCCCAGGTAGAAATAACATTTGAAGGAAAGCCACCTTGTTACCTTTTGTTGCTAAGGGTGAGAAAGGGTATTATTTAGTTTTTGAGGTAAATGTTTTCCATGTTTTGCTTATCAGTGTCCTCTCAATCATACCATGAAAGAGCAATTATTATTCCCATTTTATGCATAAAATAATTGAGGATGAGTGAAGACCTGTGTCCTATATAACCTTTACAATTAATAGGAAGGGTCGGAGCCCTGATTGCAACCCAGCTCTGAGCAACTCAAGCCCACGCTCAGTTGGTGGTTGAGCATTCAGTCTATGAGGTGGAGGTCACAGGGCCAAGCCCACTGCTGGCCACCACCACCACAACCAGCTGCCTGTACACAGCACCAGCTAGTCTCCATGGAGTCCAAAGAAACTGAGTGGCAGGATTAGTATAAGACTATCCCTGTGAATAGAAAAACAGCATGTACCGTGAGGATGAATAAGTAGCATCATCTTCTTGTGCAAAGAGAAAAGCACCTTATTGTAGAGTCACATTCACACAGTAGATACAACCCCTTAGCCATGCCCTTAAAACTTGGAAGGACAGAAAGGAACAGTTCACCACCAGAAATAAAATCTTACTAACACTTAAGCCTGCACACACAGGCCTCAGGTGGCACAAAATAGGTTTGACTTTTCCCCTTGAGCCACAATGCTCTGTTTTCTTCCCTAGTCTTCCTCCTCCTCCTCCTTCTGCTTTTTGAATGGTCTCTTTGGCAGTTTGTGGTCTTCTCCCTACCCCTACTCTTTCTCTCTTTTCTTCTGGCCCTGACTTGTTATCTCGGGCCATAGTTTCCATTGGGTTTCTCCTAAGAGAACTGTGGAGGTTTTAATGTTTCAGATCTTACTGGATAAAGGAAAGTGATCCCTTCCAGACAGCCTCAAGGTAGAACATCAACAAGCAAACAAATCTTTCTCTACATTGTACTTAAAATAATCTAACTCTCTTGGTCCATCTTGCCCATGACCTCTGTTATCCTTACCTGTGTGATGTAGGAACCAGAGAAGAGACTTGCCAAAGGTCCCTTTCCAGTCTGGCAAAGTAGCACAGAGAAGATGCCTTATTAGGCTTTAGCAAATTACAGTCAATTTTTTTAAGTTGGCATTGAAACAGAATTTAATTAACCAGCCAACTCCTCAGCTGCCTGACCACAGAATCATGTGGATGACTTATTGCTATGATTCTTAACAAGCATTCTTTTTTCCCTTTTATTCTTGATATTATAACTTGGGACCTAAAATCTTGTTTCTGTCTTCGTCTGCTTTGAAAAATGTTTATTTTCCCCAAATTTCTGATTTTAGGCATCCACAATTTCAAATATGGACCTCCAAAAATTAACTCAATATTTTATTTTTCAATATTCCATTTCCTTTGAATATTAGCAGTAATCATAAATTATTTAACATCTCATTTCTTCCCTCGCTTCAAATCACACCTTCAAATCTGCTCAACACTCAAGACCTAAGATGCAAATTAAAGCAACTTTTGAGAAAACAATCTGACCTTTTCTGTCACACAGAATAAGAACATGAAAATAAAAATTTTTTTCTATTATAAGAGAAAAACATTTGTGGAAACAATCCAAACAACTATGAGCTACTGAATGAGAATTTAAGAGTACAACCATCCCTTTGTTCAGTCGTATCTTCCTACATATACAATTTTGGTGTTTAGTGTTCCATAACATTTTCTATGTTATTTATAATTTTATGTTTATTAAATATCCAACACCTTATCTTCATGTTTTAATCATCACCTCCACGTGGGATCTTCCCTTTCCACTGTATCTAAAGTGGGACTCAGAATGATCTTGTCATTTCCCATCACCTTATGCATTACATTGTTCACCAATTATAAAAACTCTTGTTCTGGTTTATTGCCCATTTTTCTCATCAGAATTTAAACTCATTGCAGGCAGGGATCATGTCTGACTTGTCAGTTGCTTTCATTGCAACATCTAGGACAATATTAGCTTCACAAAAGCAGAATTTTTGTTCTTTCTTTGTACCTTTCTTTCTTTCATTTTTTTGCCTCTTTTGTTTACTAATATTTTCCCCAGTGCCTAAGAAGGGCCTGGCATACAGTAGGTACACAATACATCTTTGTTACCTCTCAAATAACTAACCGGTAGGAACTCAGAAAATGCTCTTTTGCCTCCATTATTGAATCAATAATTAAATAGTTTATTACTTTTGGATAACTGGAGAAAAGCTAGCAAAATTATTTAGGGAGAGTCCTCTTTAACGGAATATCTAAGAATGATTTATAATAATTTATAATAATTCATCAAAGCATTAAGATCTACAAGTGTTATTAAGACATTATTTATAGTCATATTTGAAGTCCTTAGAAACACTTAATACTCAAAAGTTAGCAAAAATTACCTTATTATCTTGTTTAACTTCTAAATTTACCTAGCAAAATACTAATTAAAATAAAGCAAATTCTAAATACCTTGTTATCAAATAGTGCAAATTCAGAATTAATAAATCCTAAATGATGATTTTTGTTTTATAATCCAACTCAATGGTTAACAAGTCAAACTCAGAATGGGCCTCTTCAGAGTATGCTATTTTCCTTCGGGTTATATATATATATCAGGCACAAGCCTCCCAGTCAAAAAGGGATCGCTGAATGAATAGTCTTTCAAAGCTTAGAAGTTGTTAATCAAGAAAGATGGTTTACTTTGAGCTGAGAACTCTGACCTTATCCTGCCAACAACCCCGGGTGACCAAGGATACAAGGAGATCTGACTGTTGCTGTGAGCATCGAGGCTTAGTGGGATTACAAAGGAAGGAGAAATCAGCCAGATACATTTCAGGCCAGCAGACCCTTCTTGTATTTATGACAACATGTTTTCCTAGTAACAGTTTATTTTGCTGAAAGCATTTAAATAAAAACCTCCAGAGACTCTTTTGAGAAGGTGGTTTTGCATTCCCCAGTCAAACACCTGCCTGATTTTAATGTGCTACTATTTTAGTCTCCAGAAGCATATGCTCCCTTCCATAAGACACAAGCTGGTCTCTGTATATTTATCATCCACACAGGCTCTAAAAATAGAAATAGGTGCAGAGGATTGTCCTGGCTATCTCTGTGTGTCTTCAGCAGCTAGGGAAGCAAACTCATGGACAAGAAAACCATTTTTCTCCATGCTAACTCAACACAACACACTTTTGATATGATAGCTCACAAACTCTTTGGAATATGTTCCCTAGCTGAAAGGTCTTCTTGCCCAGTTGTCTCTCTGTTGTCTTAGTGTGACTAAAACAACCTCAGCACAACACTGTATAAGGCCAAACAGTTCAATCAAAACACTCCTAAGCTACTCTACCCTCTCCTCCTTCTCTATTCCTAGTGAATTCCAGGATCAGACAGGGAGAGAGCCCACTTCCTTAACAATCACACTTGTATTAGTGTTGAGACCAGGAGACATACCTCCATTGTGCCTTCTCACTCCCCAAAGGGTCATTTTAATTCATGGTGGGACCACAGGCTGCTCACTGGTTGGACTTCTGAGACACAACTTAAAGTAAAAAGCAAGAAAGGCCAAAATTGCTTTTAGAAACCCCTCAAGTTTCCCATAGGTCTGATTTCAGAGTTTTGAGTATACAATTCTGTATAATATAATATAGAACTGCACATAATTATATATGGTATGTAATACATAAGTGCACATTTATTCAGCAAAGAACACTTTGCAAAATAACATTTTACAAGGTTGTGTTTCCCACCCCAGTGGTTGAATTTACATAAATCAAATGCACTTGAACCCTGCTTCAGGGGTTAGATAAATCTTTTGGCCTCTCACTTTTCTTGTGTGGCCTTGCTTCCTGCTCTATGTTTGAAATAAGTCCATTTGGAATCAGTTGGCTTTTGGTGTGGTGATCAAGTTTTTTTAAATCAATTAAATGTATTTTCCATCCCTTATTCTGTGGTATGCAACCAAATTAAATTTATGTAAAATGGCTAAAAGTGAACTCCTATTTCTGTGCATATCTGCATGTGTAGTGGAAGAGAAGGGCAGGAAAGTACCGGGTTTTCCAGCTCCTGAGCAAAGTGTTTATACCTCTTGTATACACACATAACCTTTTGCTGGGGATAGATATGTCTTCTCAGTTTGCAGAACTGTGGGTTTTTTCCAGCCTTTATTGCAACCGGCATGATGAAGACAATGCTGATTACTTGGTTGCTCAGGCAATGGCACTGTGGAGAGATTAAGCATGATCTCCCCTGTATCCGGTAGTGGACAACGTAGAACCTTCTGCATGAGACATGAAGTAACCCTGTAAAATGGGGGAAATGATAGCTACTGGGATCTAATGAAGATTAAAGGAAGTAATATCTGTGAATGACTTAAAACAGTGCCCAGCACACAGTGAGCTCTCCACTGTTGTTAGCTGTTACTGCTTTTATTCTTGGTCTTGTGCCAACAGGCATCCTGGGAAGGAGTTTAGGTCTTTTTTGGAACCTTCTAGTGATGTTTTCATAACTTAGTCACTCAAGATACTCCAAAGAGATATCAGAAGCTTGGTAGAGTGTACTTCTAATGGCAGGTATTTATTTAGAAACAAAAACAATTCCACCAAGACTTTTATCTTATGTAGTCTTTGGGGAAAAAAGATATGAGGTTGTGGTTTTCCTGCCTGGAAATGAGGAGAAACCTGTAGGAACAAGGATTCTATAGGTCATTTAGTTCAATCCACTTTAAAAATGATAAAACTGAGAGCAAGAGAGGCACAAGGTCACAAAGATTTGTCACTACCAGTGATAAGGATGTCTTCTTTCCTCATTTGTCAAATTCTATGGAGGACGAAAACTCAAAATCATGTTTAACTATGAGATTAAAATATAGTCTGGTCATCCTTAAAAAGTAAACTCTATGTAGCTTTTTAAATTAATCCTACTAGGAAGATTTAACTTATAAGGTTTACAGATACTTGGCCAAAATATATTGGAACATCTCTAGAAAGAGTTGAATAGTTGATAATTTTCATTATATTATCTCTTTAATATTAGGCCACTTCTCTGCAAAAGAGTAATCAGTAGAACATGAATGACCAAACTTAAATTGCTGAAATTGTGCCTCAGTTGACTCAACAGTATGTATTCCTATCATGGAAATTCCTACAGTATACCTGCTTTTTATGGGCTATAGAAAATGGCAGAAAAGCTAGAAAATGTGATTTGTTGCAAAATTAAGTGATTATTATAGATGTAATTGTGCATATGCAAGAAGAAAGCACAGGGCACTAACATACCACCATGATTCATAAAGGCAGAGTATCCCCTGGAGGTCCATGGGGTAACAGTTTGGTCATCAGCTTGCCACTAGTATGAGCTACTGAAAACTTTAAGAGGTAGAGACTAGTAGGAATTCTTTGAGTCATTGAGGTTGGGCTTCTGAAGAACATTGTGAGACCCATTTCTTTTCTTTCTCTCCTTCACTTCCAGCCATGAGACGAGCAGTTTTGCTCTACCATATAACCCCACCATGATGTGTTACCACAAAGCCAAAGCAACAGAGTCAAGCCATCATGGACTGAAACCTCAACCTGTGAACCAAAATACTTCTTTTCTCTTTGTAGATCGTTTACCTCGGGTATTTTGTTATAGTGATAGAAAGTTAAATAAAATTACCTACACGTTAAAAACAAGGATATTTAAACCTTCTCTATAGCCATTCTAAGGTACTATTTTGTGTTTATTTTCAGGAAGCCTTCATAAACTATTTTGACTAAAGAATTTAGACAAAAATAAATTAATTTAAATTTTTTCTCTGGATAGTATCCTTTAGCAGTCATTTTTTTTTCAACAACTTTCTTATTTCTCCCATTTCCTTATTTTTTCAGGGATAAGTGGATCCTAGGACCTACCAATATCATGCTGTCAATGTAGATAGCCTCATCTTGGATTTGAAAAGAGCCATAACAAATATAAGGGCCTCTCATTGCTATACAAAATTACATATAAGAGGTTGTGAGGGGAATGGGAAAATAAACAAGGAGAGAAATGAATTACAGTAGATGGGGTAGAGAGAGAAGATGTGAGGGAAGGGGAGGGGGGATAGTAGGGGATAGAAAAGGTAGCAGAATACAACAGTTACTAATAGGGCATTATGTAAAATTGTGGATGTGTAACCGACGTGATTCTGCAATCTGCATTTGGGGTAAAAATTGGGAGTTCATAACCCACTTCAATCTAATGTATGAAATATGATATGTAAAGAGCTTTGTAATGTTGTGAACAACCAATAAAAAAAAACAAAGAACAATGGGAAAAAAATTAAAAGGACAGTTATTTTCAAAGGTGTAGATTTAGCCAGACTAAGAACCCTCAATCAGCCCTAGAGTTACCCTTTGAAAAGTGAACACTTTTGATTTTTAATATTTGTCATCTTTTAGCATATCAATTGAGAAAAAAGTACTTTTAACCACATATAGTGTGGCCTTTTCTTTGGTGTAAACTCATATGGCACAAAACAGGATTGGCTTGTTGTTTTTTTAATTTTGAATTTTGCTTACTTAAATATGGCAACTCAAATGTATCTGGCGATTTTCTTTGAATATTCATATATTTTTATCTTTCAATAGCCAGACACTGTGAATATTTAAAATGAGTTTTGAGCTGGGTTGATTTGCTTAAACCTAAACCTATACAGGTTTAAGTTGCAGAGCCAGGACTGGAACCCAGATTCGGAGAACCTCAGAGTCAGGATGATCTTATGGTAACATCCTACCAATTAAAATTTATATGTGGCTGTTTTATCTAATTAATCTGTCAGTAATATTAACATGAAACATGAACTATCATATTTATGTAGGTCATTCTAGAGAACAGCCTCCCAGTTCAAAGACAAACACCCAGAGGAAATCAGGTAACCAGTAGAAGTAACTTGCAAAACAGATTAATGTTGTTTATAGCTGTAACTCATAGAATGTTCGCAGTAATTGAAAACAAGCTCAAGTCAATTGAAAAGCACAAATACGTATTAGATTCATAAGTCACTATTCTAGATTCTTTTTGTGTGTGGTGGTGGTGGGGAGGGAAGTGGTAGTGCTGGGGATTGAACTCAAAGTGCTATGGCTTAGATATTAGGTTTCCCCAAAAAAGCTCAGGTGTGAGACAATGCAAGAAAACTTGGAGGTCAAACAATTGGGTTATGACAGCCTAAATCTAATCAGTGCATTAATCCAGTTGAGTGGATTAACTGGGTGATAACTATAGGCAGGTAGGGTGTAGCTGGAGAAGCTGGGTCATTTGGGGCATGCTTAGGTGAGCAGAGTTCTCTCTGGTTTCTGATTGCCACATCCTGTGCTGCTTCTCTCCTCCATGCCCTTCCGCCATGATGTTTGGCCTCACTTGAGCCCAGAGCAATGGAATTGGCCATCTATGAACCAAGACCTCTGAAACCATGAGCCCCAAATAAACTTTCCCTCTTCTATGTTAAAAAAAAAAAAAAAATATATATATATATATATATATATAAAAGGGCCAGCAAGATCTCCTGAAGAATACTGTATATTATGTTCCTTTGTATGATAAACATTTCTTGGACCCTACTGATCATCCATGTATTCCTAGCTTTAGCATAATTTTGCATATAGTGATGCAAATTGAATTAAGATTAAGATTAGAGCTGTTCTTGTAAAAATAACTTAGTGGAAGTTTTTATATGGAATGATTTTTGGAATAGATGGGGGCATATAGCTTCAAAGGAATTCAGAGGAAGGTAGACTAGTAGGGAAATAGAACTCTTCATGGAAGCCATATGACCACTAAGAGAATCCTGGTGCTGTGGCCAGCTGAAGACAGAAAAGGTCCCGTCACTTGGAAGGGTAGATCCCATTGTTACCATCATGTTGGTAAATATGTCTCAGGGAAAATTAAACAGATCAGGCTGAAGGGAAGAAAGAAATCTGGTAGGGTGTGTTTTCTGGGTTAGCTGTGCAAACAGTCTGATCTGGTCTGGTGCATTCTTTGACACTTGTGTCTGGTGCCCTTGAAAGCCAGGATAAACCCAGTAGAATCGAACCATGAAGATTCAGACAGAGTCAGAGAGAACTGACAAAACTTTATATTTGAGGGATGTGTCGCTAAAAAAAAAAAATGTCCTTACTTAAAGGACTCAAAGTTCTAATCATGGAGATGGTCCCAAGCACCAAGGCCCAACCAAAATGAAGAGAGAAATGATAGCACAGCAAGGTAGTAGCCAGGAGGACCAGATGAGGACGAGGGAGAGACTAGATAGGGGACATGGCTGTACCCCAGGAACTGTGAGTGATTTACCCCTATCAAGCTTTACCCTCCCCCCTCCACCTGTGATATCAGGGCTCCTGTGAGAGTTATAATGAGCCCTTAGATTTAACAACAAGAGGCACGTTGTTAAACACAAAGGTCATTTCTCTGCTTTTTTCAGTAGCATTTGACATGGCTGACCATTCTCTCGTCTGTTCCTGTAGCTATCATTGTTTGGCTTCCAGGAAACTTCAGTGGGTGTTCCTCCTGCCTCAATAATTGCTCCTTCTCAGCCTCTTGAACTTGTTCCTTTCTTCTCGGTCTCTGGTCTACTTTTCCTCTCCACATACACATATTCCCTTTGTGCTCTCACACTGTCTCCTGACTCTCAGCATGATTTATATACCAATGATTTTGAGTGAATATCTCCATCCTAGCCTCTCTCGTGAACTCAGATTCATGTCTCAGTACTGAGGTATCTCAATTTGAACTTTACCTTATCCCCAAACCTGTTTCAACTTATCCTTCCAGACTTTCCGGTGGAAAACCTTGGTGGAAACATTGACCCCTCGCATTCTCACTTCATTGCCAATGCATTAGAAATACAGTTGGTGTGTCTGTACCACATAGGTCCACTAGTCTGAATTGCAAATTTTATTGACTAGTTCTCTTTAAAGCCCAGCTTAGATGTTAATACCCATGCGAAGCCTCAACCAACTTCTACCCCCACCCTATGCCAAACTGGTTGCTACTTCTTATTTTCACATCTTTCCTATACCTTTTACAATATTCACTTCACAGTGTGAAAATTAGAATGTACATCTTCATATAGTCATAAATTTGTGATTTTCCTGCTACACTATGAGGACCCAGAGCCTAGTGAATATGTTTTATTGATATTTATCCTTATAACTAAACAGATTCATATGAGCCCATGGTAAACAATTAGCAAATAAATAACAATGATTTTAGGTCAAGTTTAGTTTATGTGCTTTTACAGTTTTTAAATGTTTTTTAAGTAAAGGTAAAGGATCATCATTTCTGCAATTAAAAAAAATTAATGCAGAAGAATTTAAGCATAATGGCTTGTGGGGGTTTTGTTGTTGGGTTTTTTGTTTGTTTTGTGTATGTGTGTGTGTTTTGTTTTGTTGTGTTGTGTTGGGTTGTTTTTTTTACCAGGAAAAGGTTCAGAACATAAGCCCTGAGTTTCTGGCCTTGAACCTTCAGTGTGTCTTCAGGTTTAAAGAAGCAGATTAATCCAGTTGTGCCATCAGCCTGAAGCCTCTGGAAGCTGGCCAGAGCTGCCTTAGAATTTTCCTCTTCTTTTTCTCTTTCTATCTGCCAGGCTAGCTCAGTGAGTCCATTTGCAGAATCAAATGAAAATCAATCCCTTTTATGCAAACCTTCCTGAAGTGGCAAGGCCATGTTTGGTCATAGGAGTGGAGGTTCGTGCGGTGGAAGCTCTGGTGGTGATTTCTCCCTGTGGAGGGCTCGCCAGAGTCCTCCCTCCACATAGCGATGAAAGGGAGGATCAAACAGCTCTCAAAGCCAAGCTCCATTAGACTTGCCTTTTCTAAATATAGCATGCTTCAATAAACACCATTGTGAATTTGCAATTTGCTTGCTGGGAAGTACATTGCCACCTCCACCAAAATCTCATGCATGCATGTACATATTTACATCTTATTGGACCTCATTTCATCAACTAGAACTATCTGGGAATGCATTTTTTTATTTTATTATTTGATATTCAGTCAGTTCCTGCTTAGTCTTTTAGATACATAAACTGTAAGAAAAAGACCTCTGACTTGGGGCAGATTGAACGAAAGTGAACAAAATTTAATCAAAGATAAGGCTGAGATCTCGGCAGTTCTTGGAAAATGCCACCTGAGACCAGGTTGCTGAGATCCACTGCCCTGAATCCACCAAGTAACACTTTTACCAACTAAGTGAATCAGATTAAGACGGTGCATTGCTTTATACAAATTTTCCTGAGCATGTCTGCTGGTGCAATTAGGAAGATGTGTTCTGTTTGATTTTCTGAAAGAAAACTTTTCCTCTGCACATACACATTCTCCCTTTGTGCTCTCACACCATCTCCTGACTCTCAGCATGATTTATATACCATATACTGGTAAAAGTACTATCCTTATTTTGGGTTTATGCTCATCTTTGATTCTGATGGAAATGAAATCTCTTTTCTGAAGCCAACACCTGATCCTTGAGCTTCTGTTCTCTCTCCCCTAAAAAAAGACCAGGAGAGAAAGCACATCAGGTGTGCAAAGCTCAGCAATGATTTAGGATGGGAACCAAGGAACTTGATCTCCAGTGGAAGCCATGGAGATCACCATGGGAGAATGTGATGATTTGAGTTGACTTTAACCCAATAGGTCCTCATGCAGATAGGAGAGACAGGGCCATCCGAGCAACTGCAGAGGGACAGAGTTGATGCCTTTGTGTATGGTCTGAAACCAGCTTTCCCCAACTGTTGGGTATACTGCTTTAGTTTTGGGGGGTTTTTTTGGGGGGAGAGGGGCTGGGAATTGAACTC